GTTTTGTCAAAGATACATTCGTCATAGACAAAAGAAACTACTTACAGTGTCTTAAGGTTTTCAAGTGGACGGAAAATTTGTGGAGGAATGTCCTTGAGGAAGTTGATGTTAAGCCGACTGAAACGCAAGAAAAGCCAAACTAATAAACTACATGAAGAAATTAAGATAAAAGATATGATTTCGTACAGTGTTTCCATGGATGATCCATTGATAAATGCCTTTTCTTTGATACGGAAGACACGGTTGCTTGAGATATCTCTGCAAATATAATCGCTTTGTTATTGTAACGTTCATATTCGCATCGATCAACTTTCTTTAGCTTTCAAATTCTTACAACTTGTTACACAGACAAATGAGCTACGGAGAGGAGGGTCGGTCTAGTCCTTTGTCAAAATATCTCATAATTAATCAATACCCATATAAATAAATTGACCGGATTGATACATTARATACTTACACGTATAGAAGGTTTGCCATGTGTACGAAGGAATGATTAGAGATTGTGTTAATAAGATTCCCTTGTAATATTCTGCTCAAAAAATTAAACATCGCATCAAAGAAGRTCATAAATTCATAAACTGCAATTTTGCCACTCTGTTTAAGTATGCATTACAGCTTTTTTCGTCACATGCATTTATTATAGTGTAATCTTTTGCTTATTTTTACTGCGGTCCACAATCAGCGAGGGTATATGCTATTCAAGTTCTAAGAAACGTTTTATCGCTGAAAATGAGCGTCAAACCGCAGTCTGAAATCTGTTTATTACTGTTGGAKAACAGATAAGAAATAACAAAACTCCTTTTCTATATACGTTATATTCTTCGTTTTCAGGTTAAGTCACAGCGGCCATCTTGGAGGAGCTTTAACAAAGAATTTCTTATTAGTATCTATTGTTCATTCCTACAACATGGTCGCTGGTCTTTTATTTTTTGAATCTCATGAGAATGGGCGAAAACTATCGATATAATTTGTGTGTATTCTGTATTTACTTACAAAGCAATAGTATCATGTGGTATTTCGTTTGGTATTTCAGTCAAGGAATCACAGCGCACWGCAATTCTTTTACCAAATGAGCTCATATATGATTTACACATGCAGTCTGAAGGGCAACCTTGGCAATGATAAGAAATATTATATTGTCAGTGTTGCTATCTAAGTGGACTRGTAGGTCATGAGTTATTTATGATTTTTTGAGGTCTTTGAGTCTTCCAGCTGTAAGTTGGTAACGATTATTTTATTGTTATTGTATAGTTTATTTTATTATCATACCTGCTGAGGATGTCTTTATACATAATGGGTCGTAATCCTTAACTAAAAATTGGGAAAAAGTAAGTATTTAATTCGTATTAAAAAGTAAAAAATGCAGCAGATTTCCCAAGTGGCTTTTAAAATGTAGAGTTTTATGAAYAGCAAGCTAAATCATGCAAACATAAAAATTCCTAATCKCCGAGATTGGATTCTAAATATATATATGAGATGCTGTAGCTGAAAAGGCGTCTTATGCTTTTGATGTCTCTATACCCGTGGACTGCGTATATGCCCTCTTGCGTAATCACAAAGAGGTTTAGCCNTGATGTACCACGTGCACTGTATATTAGGAGGAAAGTAAGTTGGATAGTAAGGAGAAGCGATGACACCAGGCCCCGATGTGATGTTTTTGCTGCAATCTAAGAAGAGATACTCGAAATTAACGTAACGGAATATAGACGACAACAAAAAAATACATAAAACATATTACTAAAAAATATTGCAATATTGAGTAAAACGATTTTATTGCTACAGACCACCTGTTTTGTATGGTTTGGCCACCACTCATAATTAAGGCAATACAGTGAATAACCGTTAGATATCTTAGATATCCTATGCTGGTAATTTAAAAAGGGGATGGTTGCTAGGTTACATTTATCGGGTTACATAGAAATTCTTGAGCGTGCATTTATTTGTGGGGGCATGGGCGACCATTCTCTCTAAAATTTGTATATAGAACATAACCCAGGTTTTCTAGAAATTTTTCTCGTAATTTCAGTTATTTTGGAAATGTTTTGCTCTTGACTAATTACCTCCCACATACACTTGAAAAATTCGCGCGCTTTAAAGGTTGTAAATTTGATGTAAGTGTCCAAAATTCTGTAAATTTAATCGATTTTTTCTAGTGATACCGTATTTATTTCAAGGCGCCACATAAGATACACGTTTAGCAATGTTCTTTTTTTCATTTACTAAATACCATATTTGAGACGATATTCACAAGTACAAGCGTCGTTGGTTTTGTTAGCATAGCCAAGTAGAATAGCACCTGATATGTTTTCAACCTTTCCTCTGATGCTGATCTGAAGATAAGCGTAGAAAAAGTTACTATCTGAATTGATTGGAACAAATCAACACTGTCTGTAATGGATCGAGTGGAGATCATAAATATTTGGGGTGGGGGTCCTTGATAGTAACTATCAGTAATCTTTTCGTACTTGATTAGAGCTCATTGAATTAATGGGTACCATTCCTGAGTTCCACTGGCCATATTCATAATTTTTGATATACCAAACAGGTTTAATCGCTTCTTCAGATGTTTTAACTTCAACTTCCAAAGTCTTTTTGCTGTCTCCAAGCATCANGAGATACTCGAAATTAACGTAACGGAATATAGACGACAACAAAAAAATACATAAAACATATTACTAAAAAATATTGCAATATTGAGTAAAACGATTTTATTGCTACAGACCACCTGTTTTGTATGGTTTGGCCACCACTCATAATTAAGGCAATACAGTGAATAACCGTTAGATATCTTAGATATCCTATGCTGGTAATTTAAAAAGGTAATGGTTGCCTCGGAGAAGGGGGGGGGGGGTACTCTCATATATTTGCTATACGGGGACGTGCCGCTGGCCAGGTTATACATTTCGCCCGAAATTGTCTTAAACAGCCTCTACAATTTAGATAAAAGACCGATATATATATATTTTTTGTGTGTCTTGGGCAGGCTAATATTTTCATAAGAAATACCGTAGAAATAGTAGAAATACCGTTTCACTGTCCCAGGATTGACGTGTTATCAAAAACTTCTTATTGTCTTTGATGGATGTCAGTATAATTGCAGCTTTGATTTGGTTGCGGCTTAGACAGCTATTCCTTATTTTTCCGATTTGTATTGAACAGGGTATGGATTTTCACTTTCTAGTTTCTTATCTAAATCCCTGACCCTGTTTAATTAAACAGGGTTAGGGATTTAGACCGCTGGCGGCACGTACCTATCGTGTATTTATTTGTGGGGGCATGGGTGACCATCCTCTCTAAAATATATATAGAACATAACCCAGCCTTTCTTGAAATTTAGGGTATCTCGTAATTTCAGTTATTTTGGAAATGTTTTGTATATATGCAAAATGTTAGAGTTTTTATATCCTGTCATATTGTTCTAGTGGACGATTTATATATTTACTCGGTTTGTGTGCTTCTCTTGTGCTCTTGACTAATTACCTCCCACATACACTTGAAAAATTCGCGCGCTTTAAAGGTTGTAAATTTGATGTAAGTGTCCAAAATTCCGTAAATTTAATCGAAATCATTTATATCAAATTTACAGAATTTTGGACACTTACATCATATTTACATCAAATTTACAACCTTTGAAGCGCGCGATTTTTTTCAGTGATACCGTATTTATTTCAAGGGGGCACATAAGATACACGTTTAGCAATGTTCTTTTTTTCATTTACTAAATATGATACCATATTTGAGACGGTCTTCACAAGCCTTGTTGGTTTTGTTAGCATAGCCAAGTAGAATAGCACCTGATATGTTTTCAACCTTTCCTCTGATGCTGATCTGAAGATAAGCGTAGAAAAAGTTACTATCTGAATTGATTGGAACAAATCAACACTGTCTGTAATGGATCGAGTGGAGATCATAAATATTTGGGGTGGGGGTCCTTGATAGTAACTATCAGTAATCTTTTCGTACTTGATTAGAGCTCATTGAATTAATGGGTACCATTCCTGAGTTCCACTGGCCATWTTCATAATTTTTGATATACCAAACAGGTTTAATCGCTTCTTCAGATGTTTTAACTTCAACTTCCAAAGTCTTTTTGCTGTCTCCAAGCATCATGTATGTAAAATGAAAGCATAGATTAGCATGTTTGGGAGTCTTTTTAAATTCCACCGGGCTAACCAATGTGCTGTCTGAACTGCCTTTGAGAAGCATCACTTTATCTGGAAGAAACCATTGTGCACATTTATATACAGTGCAAAGTATTTGTGTTTTATCATTGAAGAGAGCACAATGACGTGGAAAAACCTCAATTAAGCATTAAATAACAAATGCCCTTTATCGCAAATTGCAGAATATTACAGATTAAGTTTACTCATTTCTGGCTACTAGTAGAATGTTTACCTCTTGACACTTTACAAGATGCCGGTCGTTTTATGGTAATGTTTTTGCTTTTGCGAAGAGGAAGCCTTTCCCAAAGAGCAGGGGCTAAAAGAATTCGATTAAAATGTTTTCTGATAGGACCACAGCCTGATGACATTCCTGCTATGGTTTTAGCAATATTCAGATTCCACGGCGCATGCCATATGTTTAAAGCTGATACAATGGGCAAATCTGTTATATTATCTTGATCTTGTTTGACATATCCAATTTGCAACCTTCCTTTCACTGAAAACGAAGAGAACTTCATCAATTGTATAATCTGTGAATTATACTCAGTACAACAAAGTACAGCTGGTGAGTGATTCCCGGCAAAATGACTCTCTCATGGAAATAAGGGGTTTTTAAAAACGTTTTGACAAAACACTACTCAGGATGAAAAGACTCAACAATTACAGGATAATATTCCTGAAAATATTGCATGAAAATATGCGCAATATATATGCTGGAATCAGAACGAACGTTCACTCTACAGACTCTAATGCGCTTCGGCATGTGTCTTTTTGCGTCAAATATTTAATTGCCTAACCAACTTCCACTTCGGATCAGTTTCGATAGATAGTTGCTTGTACTGGATATCAGTTCTGTAGTTTGTCACAGTTGTACCTTGTACTTTTCGTTGACCAGTAGTTAAAGTTTTTTTTTAAGTACTGTTTAAGATGCAAATGTCCAATATTATAATTAAGTGATGAAAAAATACCATAATAGCCGAGAGACGTAACGTTCTCCAATTTCTTTGAATCAACCYTTTCTCCGTCAACAAACAAAGAAAACTTATTTGTAGCGACATCAAGACAATAAAAATGCCACAGTTTTYYCAGCCTCGCATCCAGGTCATATTGTCTAGGGGAAAAATGAAATAAATAGAAAATAAATTAAAGAGAGCAATATCTAATATTTGGCGGCAAGAGTAAAAAGTTACAGGAGCATTCATAGTTTCTGTCGTCCCACTGTTTAAAAGGTACTAGTTAATTCAACTTCCTAGAAGTCTTTCATTGAATCTTTGCTGCTGTCTACTACTGACTGACAGCGAGTGACAGTCTTTTGCATTGGCGACCGTGGAGACCGATCGTCTGATAGTGACACTCGCAAAAGAATCAGTATACTCGCGCTCGCTATTATACAAATAAGTGATTTTTTATGATCAGAGTTGATATTATATACTGTATTTTATATACTGTTTATCCTGGCAAGACTATTACTTTAGATGTTTGGATGGCAACCACCACTTCAGTAACACTACCGCACTTGAATCTCTCGGTTGACTATACTTACAAATGATTGTTTGAACGAGTCTTGACTCTGATTACAACAATATTTGAGATATTCATCGTCATGATCACAACATATCGGTAGGATGACGGTTTTACCGGACGCCTCCTCAGAATTTTCACGTATATCTCTTCTCCATAGTTCTTTGTCCACAAGCATATGGTAAACCTTCTTATAATTGTTATTTCTGAGTCCAGTAAAGGTCGGGAGGAAGACGAGAGTTCCATCTCAAAGTCCCATTCTTGTTTGGAGTTTGCTAAATGCGAAAAAAATAAAATTATGAACATTAATTTCAAGTAAAGATTGATCCAATTGATTTAGTTTCCAAAGATTTACCCATAGTCAAACTGTGCTGTTTGGTGTAATTATCATATTCTGTAAGACTCGTGATCTTCCATGTGCTGCTGAATTCACTTGTCGTTAATGACTCCCATAAAAGCCACTCTTTAAGGGAAAATACTTGAAAATCTGTAATTAAAATGATTATTTATGAGCACAAAAGCACATCAAAATGCTAGTCCAAAAATGAGAGTTCTATCATATAAGTCGGTTAATATGGATTTGTTTTCGCATCAAGAAGACATCGTAAAAGCTATTAACTACATTGAGATTGGTTATTTTAGAGGATGTCAATAGGGTTAATAGTTAACTGACTTTTGGCTTAAAAATAAGTGGTTAACTGACTTTTTGGCCAAAAAATAGTAGTTAACTGACTAATGGAAATCGTATATTTAACTGACTTTCTTACTAACATTTAATTCAGGCGCGTAGAGTCTTTTACGCATATACGCACGTGCGTACTAGTGGGAAGGAAATATTAAAATTTTCGGGATTTGATGCCTTTTATATGCTCTCGATGCCCCTCAAAACGCTGAAAATCGCATTTCCAATAGTTATTATTTCAAAATTTCCTGGGGGAGAACCTCCCGGCCGACCCCCTTAATACTCGCGCCTTCGGAGGTCGTTAGCCCCCCAAATCCAAAATACGTGTCACGGTACCGGTCATATGCGTCCTAGCCAAAATGTCCACGCTACGCGCCAGTAATTGCGTCTTTTAAAAATCTACTGTCCAATAGTTTTTTGGGTCTTTTAACTGATCACTCTTTGAGTAGTCAAGCTCCGATGCACCCAGGCTATCCTCACGAGAATTGAACTTGTTGATCAGATACTTATCATTGTATTCTTACGTAAATATGGATACAGAACTGCTGCAAGTAACATATTACAATCATATATATAACATGATTGCACAAATCAATTTACTGGTGATGTTAGCATTATAAATGCAATTTATAAAGCAATGACATTCGATACAAGAGCCCAAAAGTTAATGCCTATCTAACATTAGTAGTTAACTGACTTTTGGGTACTCCCATTGACACCCTCATTCTACTCTGTCGATACCAAGAAAATAGGAATGGGAAAAATTTGAAATGTATGGTTTGCACTTCAATCTAAGCTTCCAACTGGAAAAAAGGCCAAGAAAGCTTAAACTAAGATTAGTCGTTATCTAAGTGCATTTTCATCTGCAACTTTGATCAAAACTTCAAATTCACAAGATTGGAAAATTTTTCAGCACAAGTATACAACCGTGTTTACCTAATAGACGCTACTCCACTGATATCATTACTACTTACCAATAATACTACTACTGCACAAATGCTTCAATACTGGTTGGATGGACAGACGGGAAAATGAGCCAAATCTTAAAATATCACTCGTTGGACGAGATACGACTGCTCTTAATTCTTGCTCGTCGATCCTACCTGCTATAGCAACTGAAATAACTAGCACTCCTTGATCCTTTAATAATTTCGATGCTTGAATAAGGCTTTTGTGTCCAACTTCCGATTGTGTTTGGATGCCATCTGCTAGTAACATTGCTATCTAAAAAAAAGAACAAAGCTTATGGGATCTTGAATGAGAAATTTTGTTGCAATTGAAACAACACGCTTACCTATATCATTACTGACTGAAATAATTCTTAAATTAATACAGTTACTTTCTTTGAAAGACCACTCTAGTAAGCGACCATCTCTCGTAAGCGACCACTTTTTAAATTTCCCGTTTTGTTCAGTTTCCAATATAAACACTGTAAAAAAAAACTTTCTTCTAAACGACCACTTTTTCCCATTTTCCTGATCCCGAAGTGGTCGCTTACGAGAGAGTTGACTGTAAGAGGAGACGACGGGGTTCCTGGGACAAATATATCTGTTCTTATCAACTGGTTGCCAGCGACAAAATTCAGGAAAAAAAGAACTTTCCAGGCAAGTAATAATTTTTAAGAATTTTAAGCCAGGGAAATAAAAACCGTGCAAGCTTTATATTTAGGTCTTATTAACTACTTAAGTAATAGATAGCTTTTTCCGTGTTTACATAGCCTGATGCAAACACGAGGGTAGGTTGGGAGAATTCGAGACGGTTATGCAAAACCGAGACGAATTGGTATGGAAATGATATCAAGATGAGATTTTTGAAAAACTGCAGGAATATACTTGCTGAAAGACCTTGTTTTGACACTTTAAATGATGTTTGATTATCCGCTTCGACGTGCCGGCACTTCAGCATCACCGACGAAAAAATTCACAAAACCACAAATAACACATGAAAGCATTGGTCGTATGAACTCCGTTTCATGGATAAGAAGGTGGAATTCATGTTCATAGAGACTTTTTATTGAACTGGTATCTGGTAATAATATCAAACTGAAGATAATTTTATGCGAGCGATGCAAGAACTGCTATTGCAACAAGCCGTACGAAAAAAATCCAAAAGCTACAAATAAAGACCTTGGTCGGATTAATTACATTTAATAAATAAGCTGGTATTCATGTTTTTAGGTTAAACTAGTAGCTTGTTTATCGTGTACTAGTAGGTAACGAATTTATAAAGAGATTCATTATGAACAATCGTTGAACTGAAAGAAATCTCGATTCTCAAGCGCAAATCGCAATTCTTGTACTATTTTTCTTATGTAGTATCTCAATAAAATGCAAAATACTCACTCAATTCCTCAATTTTTAGCTTCATAGAAAAATGTAACCTACTTTTCACGCGTTATTTACAATAATAAAGATGCAGTTAAGCTTATTACGTTTTTGATTTTTTTACTTCCAGTTTCAAGTTGCTTTGTTTATTTATAGTTTATACCGAAGATTCTATGCACTCAAAACCTACAAGAAATAGTAAAACTTTATGCAGAATACTCATAACTAGTTGTTGCCAAGCTTTCGGATACATTTTTGTATAAATAGCTGATTTTTTTCCTATTCTACTTCTAGTTTTGAATCGCACTTGACAAAAAATGGTGACGTCAAAACCATGTTTACATACTCTGATACAAACACGGCAGTCGGCCAATCAGAACGCGCGTAGTATCCAAGTTATTTTATAATACTCGTTATTTATTATGTTATCCATTGCCTGTCATTGTTCTCTAGGCCAGCCACCGCTGGCCGCCCCATTGCCTGATTAGCTCGCTAGTGGCAATTAATTTATTTAAAGATTAAAGATTAAAGATTAACCGAGCGCAAGGTCTTTACGAGAGAATCTTACCTTTGGGATATTTCCTCTCATTCCTGCTGATTTAGTGAAAACATCTTGGGTAGCCAATTGAAGTGCCTTGTCCATAAATCTAAGACGACCTTGCTGTAACTTCATTGTCCTTATTAAACGACTATACGCTTCAACTGTGATATTAGATCCTTGCAGTGTGTTAAACCTGAATACTGTTGTAGCATCTGTGCTGTACGAAATGACTGCGACATGGTTTCCTTGATCACTAACTGTCATCTTTTTGATCATATTTACCAGGAAGGTCTGCACTTTTTCCCAGTTGTCAAAACTTATAGTCCTTGACGAGCTTACCAAGAATGCAATATCCGCTCTTAAGTCGCAATTAATGTCTGAAACCAATCCATAATATAAAGTATATTTATAATAAGCGACAAAAAATNAAATATGAATAGATTTGATTTTTTGAGCCTTGCCAAAAACTTTCAGTTTTGTCTGGTTTTTGCGCGAAGCGGCTCTTAAAAGGTTAATTAATTAACTAGTTAATTTAACTGCCTAGAAGTCTTTCATTGAATCTTTGCTGCTGTCTACTAATGACTGACAGCGAGTGACAGTCCTTTGCATTGGCGCCGACCGTGGAGACCGATCGTCTGATAGTGACACTCGCAAAAGAATCAGTATACTCGCGCTCGCTATTATACAAACTGATTTTTTATGATCAGAGTTGATATTATATACTGTATTTTATATACTGTTTATCCTGGCAAGACTATTACTKTAGATGTTTGGATGGCAACCACCACTTCAGTAACACTACCGCACTTGAATCTCTCGGTTGACTGTACTTACAAATGATTGTTTGAACGAGTCTTGACTCTGATTACAACAATATTTGAGATATTCATCGTCATGATCATAACATATCGGTAGGATGACGGTTTTACCAGACGCCTCCTCAGAATTTTCACGTATATCTCTTCTCCATAGTTCTTTGTCCACAAGCATATGGTAAACCTTCTTWTAATTGTTATTTCTGAGTCCAGTAAMGGTCGGGARGAAGACGAGAGTTCCATCTCAAAGTCCCATTCTTGTTTAGAGTTTGCTAAATGCGAAAAAAATAAAATTATGAACATTGATTTCAAGTAAAGATTGATAGAATTGATTTAGTTTTCAAAGATTTACCCATAGTCAAACTGTGCTGTTTGGTGTAATTATCATATTCTGTAAGACTCGTGATCTTCCATGTGCTGCTGAATTCACTTGTCGTTAATGACTCCCATAAAAGCCACTCTTTAAGGGAAAATACTTGAAAATCTGTAATTAAAATGATTATTTATGAGCACAAAAGCACAAAAGCCTGGTTTTCACATCAAAATGCTAGTCCAAAAATGAGAGTTCTATCATATAAGTCGGTTAATATGGCTTTGTTTTCGCATCAAGAAGACATCGTAAAAGCTATTAACTACATTGAGATTGGTTATTTTAAAGGATGTCAATTCTTGCTGTGCAACCACATGACCAGGAATCCCTGAGAAATAAAGAACAAAGCTATCGCCGCCATGTTGGATGAATGAACAAGAGAAACTAATGAGGAATGCTTTGTGATTTTCATCCAACATGGCGGCGATGACGTAACTTGCACACCAAGAATAGGGTTAATAGTTAGCTGACTTTTAGCTTAAAAATAAGTGGTTAACTGACTTTTTGGCCAAAAAAATCGTAGTTAACTGACTAATGGAAATCGTATATTTCACTGACTTTTCTACATCTGCAACTTTGATCAAAACTTCAAATTCACAAAGATTGGAAAACTTTGCAGCACAAGTATACAACCGTGTTTACCTAATAGACGCTACTCCACTGATATCATTACTACTTACCAATATTACTACTACTGCACAAATGACTCAATACTGGTTGGATGGCGAGATGGGAAAATGAGCCAAATCTTAAAACATCTCTCGTTGGACGAGATACGACTGCTCTTAAATCTTGCACGCCGAACCAGCCTCCTATAGCAACTGAAATAACTAGCACTCCTTGATCTTTTAATAATTTCGATGCTTGGATAAGGCTTTTCTGACGAACTCCTGATTGTGTTTGGATGCCATCTGCTAGTAAGATTGCTATCTAAAAAAAGAACAGAGCTTATGGAATCTTGAATGAGAAATTTTGTTGTAATTGAAACAAACACGCTTAACTATATCATTACTGACTGAAATAATTCTTAAATCAATACAGTTACTCTCTTTGAACGACCACTCTAGTAAGTGACCATCTCTCGTAAGCGACCACATTTGCTTGTGAGATTGTAAACAAGGTAGCTCAAAATCCTTTCCCAGGAAAATATTTGTACTAGAACAGTACGGTATTTAGAAGGACAGATCCCGTCAGGTCCCCCTTAATTAAATCTAATTACCTTTGGGATATTTCCTCTCATTCCTGCTGATTTAGTGAAAACATCTTGGGTAGCCAATTGAAGTGCCTTGTCCATAAATCTAAGACGACCTTGCTGTAACTTCATTGCCCTTATTAAACGACTATACGCTTCAACTGTGATATTAGATCCTTGCAGTGTGTTAAACCTGAATACTRTTGTAGCATCTGTGCTGTACGAAATGACTGCGACATGGTTTCCTTGATCACTAACTGTCATCTTTTTGATCATATTTACCAGGAAGGTCTGCACTTTTTCCCAGTTGTCAAAACTTATAGTCCTTGACGAGCTTACCAAGAATGCAATATCCGCTCTTAAGTCGTCGCAATTAATGTCTGAAACCAATCCATAATATAAAGTATATTTATAATAAGCGACAAAAAATGAAAAAATGAATAAATTCACATGGTATGTTCGAATTCTSCATGCTTGGAAACACAATAATTTTGAACTTTTATCAATCCAGAAGAAGAAGGAAAAGAAGAAGAACTGAAGAACAAGACGATGAAGATGAAGATGAAGAATTCAGTAAAACATATCATCATTACAATCATGACAGTTGCTCTAGCTAGTATTTTTTTGGTGTATGATTTCATACATGGGCTATGCACCGATGAAAGTTCTGATTAACTGTTCTCCAATATCAGTATACTTACCTTTTTCCTTATTGTTATGGTTATTAAAGACTGTTAACTGGGAACACTCTTCTTCAGTAAAATAGGGAACGTATTCTCTGCTACCGGTGRGTCGATATTCAAAGTCGTATTCAATCTAAAATATAGCAGTAGTTTACATGAAAACAAATTTTACACACAGGTACAGTGTATTCTATGGAGTGTAATTGTAAAGGTAATTGTAAGAATAGGTCCCGGGCTTTTTTTGCGAGTGCGAAGTTCTTGCAGTTTTCCATCTTTGCTTGTCTAAGAAGGTAATATAGAGAAATGCAGCTAACCGGCATTATCATRCCGGCCTAGTCTAGTGTAAAACCCAGCTGAAAAAAAGTCAGCAAAAAACCTCTGCTATGCCGGGAATGTATCATATTTGACTAAAAATKTGAGTTTACAAAGGCGGAACCATCTGTTGGTTGTAGGGGTCTCGCATCCTCACCAAAAAAAACAAAAAAAAGCCGCACATCGACCATCTTGGTTGAAAAGAATTTAACATTAGTATGACTCATCCAGCATGCATGACAGCCGGTCTTTTGCCTTTTGAATCCCAGCGAAGTGAAGTCTGGATCTGTCTAAAGAGTAAACTGACTTACGAATCGCTTTCTCACCATGCTTCCTTGAACACYTGGCAAAGGTAATTGTAATTGGACGAAACCGACAGCTTTCTCTTCAAAACTGACACTTGAAATTGTTTTACCGTTACTGTACTTTGTGAAAAACGAAAACACATCGGATGATATAAGGTGAAGACATTTCCATGGGGTATTTTGTCCATCGTTAATAAGGTATACTGATAGTTCGCCTAGAAAAATTCACGAATGGCATAATTAAAAGTTAATGAGAATATTAATTGCAAATTCAGCCTAAAACAGCCATTATTGGAATCTATATATATTAACTTAT